GTAGCCTTGGCTACAAAACGGTTTCCATTTTCTCATTGAAAATTTTTAAAATCCCGTTTAACTTTTTAATTGCATTATGGTACCTGGAACACGTCTCTGACCAATGTGTTTTACCATGTCCAAAAAAAAGCGGTCCCTCGATTTCCCCCTCATTCGCCACCAGTGGTGGTCGATTTCCCCCGTAGAAAATGTGGCAGACGCCTGCTCCGCTGCATGTCGCTCTCCAGCTTATCAGTTCACGGAAACTCCGGCAGCCAGACGTTAGGACGCTGCGATGACAGCGACACTCGCGTTTGCTCGTGCTCTTCACCAGCATTTCTACGGCCAACCGCCAGGGTCGCGACATCTAACAGCATGGCTCTAGCATGACACTCCGACTTCTGTGACGTCACTAGCTGATTGACCGTCAAGGACCACTTTTGATGTACGAGCGGGATAGGACGCGGAACGCAGGGGTCGGAGACGCGCTCCAGGCGCTATAATCACATAAGGGTATAGTCCTGAAACTTTGGCCCCTGGTAAACCGAGCGTTGGGCGGTGCTGTTTACAGTTTTAGGGAAGCGTTTTCGCACATCCGATGCGGTATGATGGGCCCTCCGGTATGAACTGCGCATGTGCGAGACTTTTGGAATAGCGCATGCGCAGTTTGTATCCGGAGGGCCCATCGTACAGTATCCGATGTGCAAAGGCGGTTCGCTAAAACCCTCTATTTTTACGGTTCGAAGAACACGGTTCTATTTTCTACCACACACACGGTATTCGGTCGAACGCGTTGTGCTTCGGTGTATACACTTCCCTTCATATCAAAATGTCACCGGGTTCAAAGCGCGAGTCCGGTTGTAAAAGAAGCCGTACAGTTCTGTCAAAAGGCGCAGTGCAATGAAACTTTGCACAAAAGTGTATTTTTGTGGCGCATTTATCGTACTCAACTTTTCGTGAGTGTAGGTTTCTGAGAAGAGGAAATCAGAAGAAAGCCGTCAAGTTAAAACGCTTAGCACAAAACAAAATCTAAAAGTTTCTTAGAGAGGAAAATTCTATAGCATACTCAGCAAATCGGAGAGTGTGATGCCATATATACCGTATTTTCCGGACTATAGTCCGCACCCGGTGTATAGTCCGCAGAGGCAAATTTGGGGTAAAAAAATGAAAGTTTTTACTTAGATAGTCCGCACCCAGTGCATAGTCCGCACCTGGTGCTTAGTCGACACGAAATGCTTCTCATACGCGGCACACCTTGACATATGTATGTTTTCTTAGCTCACAAAAAAAGCCTATAATATACATAAATTATCAATAACATACTCTTTTATTCACAAAATCCATCCCGTCTCGTCATAATCAAGTGTCCGCACGCGTAGACAGTCCGCACAGCCAAAAATTTCAACTTTTAAACATGTGTAGTCCGCGGACTATAGCCCGGAAAATACGGTAAGTAGCCGCGTCAACCAAGCGGTGTGCTTGTTTTTCTCCCGCGCGGAGGAAATAAGTTTTTCTTTTCTTGTATTTCTCCCCACAAACCTATACACTCACTAAATGTGAGCATACTAAATGCAACACTTAAAGACGCGCCTATGTGAAAAGTTTCACTGCACACCATTCATCGATTTATTTAATGTTTGTAACCTGTTTGTTTTGTCTCCTGGGAGGTGGGCCGGAAGACGCACCTGAGTACAGGCTTTCGCCTTTCTGCTTCGCCTTGCGCGCCTCCCAGAAGATAGCTCGTACTCGTGCAAATAAAGATTATTATTATTATTATTATTATTATTATTATTATTATTATTATTATTATTATTATTATTATTATTATTATTATTATTATTATTATTATTATTATTATTATTAAGAACAGTGAAAGCAATAAAATACAAGCTTTGATACTCAATCATTGCAAGTGCGATGATCTATAGTCACTGGTTTTGATCGGTTAACGCTTATTCAGTGTAATCCTCCTGATAAAATTCATGAAAAGTTTTGTGAACAGATAAAAATATTTGAAAATCTCAACCAAAAAGTTCTTATAAAGAAACGTAGAAGAAATTACAACTGGTTAAATTCGGACGTTATTCGGGCAATGGCATATCGAGACTGGCTGTGGACGCGCCAAAAACGTGCTCCAAAAAACCAGGCCTTAGCTTTAGATTGCGGAGTTGAAAGAAATGGAGTGGCCGCGCTTACCCGTGTAACGAAGCGACGGTACTTTTTACGACAGTTCAATCAATCGGCAAGAAACGCGGCAAAAGCATGGTCTGTGATAACTGAAATAATACTTAAAAAACAAGCGAGCTGGTGATGATTCATGGTAATAAAACCCGAGACTCAGGAACACAGGACGTTGTGTTGTGTTCGTCCCCTTCTGTGTTTCCTAGTCTCGGGTTTTATTACCATGAGTCTGTGATAAACCATATTCGAGGACGAGATAATAACTGTTTCGCTTGCATGGATCATTTTGCTGAGAATCCCACTGCAGTGGCCGATAAGTTTAATCATTACTTAACACGGGCTTCGGAAAGCTCATGTTCGGTGCAATATGGCGGGTGTTATAAGGAAATATCAGCAGCCTCAGCGTTTTGGCCTACTCTAACAGAATCTGAACTTGCAAGGATAATATTTAGGTTTCGACAAAACAAGTCACCCGGAATCGATGGAGTGTTGGCATTTACGCCCCGAAGAAACTTTAATGCTCTCGCTGATATTTTACTGTTTATGGTAAACGGCTTCTTGGATAAATCGGCTGTTCCAGGAAATTTGAAGCCCGCCATAATCAAGCTACTTTTCAAGTGAGCACGAAAGGAGAAGATGGAAAATTACAGAGCAACATCAATATTGCCAATATTGTCGCAGATATTAGAAACATTTCTTCTCGAAGGGATGACGTCATTTCTGGAAAAAAAAACTGTAATATTTTGTCCAGCCGACAGTTCGGTTTCATTACAGGACGAGATAACATACCTCCCTATCGTCCCTATCGTCTAGCTGACCGTTTATTTTTTAATTATGTACCAACTAGCTCAACTTCAGCCTGTTATTCAATACCATACCACTCTTAGAATAATTTTCAGATACGCTCCATGACGCGTTCGAACAATAACCTGTACCTGTGCTATTTTTCTAGATAGCAAAAGCTTTCGACACTGTTAACCATCAGATTTTATTACAAAATTTGTATGTGGTGGGTTTTCGTGGACCTTTTTACGAGATTCTGAAAAATGACCTCTCCGATCGATCCCAAGTATAGCAGTATAAACTATAGCAGTAAATTAGCAGTTAACTATAGCAGTAAATTACAAACGAAGGCTGGTGTCCCCCAAGCCTCAATTTTATCCCTTTGTTTTATTTTACATTTTTATTAATGATCTCGCTTCAACAGTTAACAACTGTACTGTGTTTAGTACGCAGATACACACTTTCTAAAAACCTGTGCTACGAAGAAGCAATGAACAACCTGCAACGTAACATAATCGAAGCAATGACATTGCTTTGATTACGTATTTTCGTAAATGTGCAAAAGACAAAGCTGATTTCTTTCAGAAATCATTTAAAAACGGGTGATTGACATCCCTCTGACATGGTCAAGATTGTTGTCCGTATGGTTGAATATGTAAATTCTATGAAATATATATATATATATTACAGTGACTTGTTATGGCAAAGTCACTTCGCTTATGTCTCCAGTAAGTTGCGGAGAGCAGCCTGCTTACTTTTTAAACTCAAAAGCATTTTTCCCGTTGAGATAAATAACGATTGCTCAGGCTCGTTCGCTTACAGCATACTCAGATATGGTATAACTGTCTTCGCTTCCGTTTCACTGCGATGGCAGAGCCGTGTTGACAGTCTACTGAAGAACATATTAGTGAGTTTTACTATTGCGTATACGAGCCAACGCAAGCGCTCTGCGTTTGCGTCAGCGTTGCGTTCTCCACGATGCGCATGCGCAAACGCGCAATGTGGAACACGAAACACTAACGCAAACCCACAGGGCTTGCGTTCGCCGCCTATACGCAATACTCAAACTAACTATTAAAGAGTACAATTCTCCCCTTTTAAGCGGATCAGGTATTTTTCATAACGTTGGCCTTCCCTTCTTCCCCTTCTTTATTTTCTTTATTTAAGCAGACGGTGGTGGCACGGCATTTTTGGAATTCTGATTTTAAAATCGAACATGTTTCTCCAAGATTGTAAAGAAAAGGCCTACGCTTTCCAGTGCCTTGGTGTTCAACGCGATATGGTGCGGCCAGACGCTGTGTGTATGTCCCTAACATTTGTAACGAATTATCAGAAAAAATATTTTCTGCGACTTCCAAAAGAAAATTAAAGAGGTGGTAGGGCTGCTATGACCTATGTCCGTAATTTCTTTCTTTTTTTTTTTTGAAAAGGGGGCTCGGGGGGGGGGGGGGGGGGGGGGGGGGGAATAGGCTTTGATGCGTGTTCTTTTCGTGGTGGTCTTTCAGGTACCAAGTGTATATTTCTTTTTTTTTTTTTTTTTTAGTGGGAACTTTGCGTTAATGCTGTGCAAAAGTTACCCTGAAATATGTCTTGTTCTTGTCTACCTAGGGTCCTTTCGGTGTTGGTATGATTGTGCTTTTCCTGAACGTAATTATTGTCTTCTAGCCATACAAGTCATACAAGTCTGTTATAGACTTCGACGGGCCCCTTTTTTGTATTGTATTAAACATTGTTTGACAATAAATATATTATTATTATTATTAATATTAGACCTTTTTTTTTTTAGGACCGAGTAGCGCTCGGGAAGAACCTGTGGGTAATATGCCCCTCTATCGATTAGGTAAATAGAAGAATATTAAGTATACCGACGGTTATGCATATGTTTACTTACCCGTTCCGAAAGCGCCACCCCGAAATGAAGAAAATTGAGAATCTGTGGCGATGATGCAACGGTGGAGAGAAACCTAGCGAGGAATTACACGAAAAAGCAAGAAGGGCAATAGCGACTGCAAATTATAGCTGGGAGTGGGGAATCCGGAGATAAAAATCGAGAAAACTATAGTGTTTGCGGGTATTTGCAGGCATGTCTAAAGTTCACCTTGACTTCTTAAAACAAATTTTGTTAAATATAACCGTTGCTTAAAACTATAGGTGATTTCATTATTTTGCCTATGTGCACTCATAGACTGGGCCTCGCGCTGCTCATAATTCTTGACAGGGCAAATTTTCTTCTGTTTTTTAGGGTACTCGGAGTTGATCACTTCGCCATTTCCACACATGAGCTCTTAGCAATGTTGTATAACGGGCACGTAAAAACGAAAAGTTATAACTTCAAACTTATGGAATTACCAATGGCAGGATTAAAAGATAGATTCTGATCATTATGAACGGAAACACATCCTAAGAAGCGATGCTTTGTAGTACAACCGCTTACAGTTTCTTTCTTTCACAGTTGACGGCAAAGAAGGTTTTGCCATCAGAATTGAACAGGTTTCCCAATTTACGCTACTTTTCTATCGTCGTCCCAGTTTACGGTACATCGACATCAAACCTTTAGGTCATCTTTATACATCTAAACGAGGCTGAATAGCTATAACCAGAACTCCGTAAACCTTCACGCGGAGACGCCTCCAGTAACCTCTATGGCAGCCCCCGTGACGTAAGAGCTCTTTGGCGAAGCCAGGAAGACGCAGACGCTGGCGATGTCTTCGGGTTTTCCTTCTCTGCGCATGGCCGACCTCCGGATGAGCGTCTGCACCGTCTCTTCGTCCAGGGGCGACAGCAGAGGAGTGTCCGTGACGCCCGGCAGAACGGTGTTGCAGCGGATGCCGTACTGCGCAAGCTCCAGGGCGGCAGACTTGGTGAAGCCGATGACACCGGACTTGGCGGCCACGTAACAGGACATCTTTGGGAAGCCCGTGGTACCCAGGATGGTCGAGATGTTGACGATGGAACGATCCTGTTTGCCTTCGTCCGACACCATTCCCCTCGCAGCCGCCTGCGTGATCAGGAATGTGCCCTGTGCCAAAAGGAATAATACGAAGTCATCATTTCTTGGCGGGCACAATTGTGTACGCTTGTTGTCGGCGCAGAAGCTGGCGTCGTTCCTGCACCAGGCGGCGTGCGCAGAAGGGTTAACAACACGCCGTGCTTTTGGGGCACGGACAAGACGAAAACGGCAGGGCGTCTCCTTTAGATGCATGGCATCCAGCACGCGCTCGTTGCCTTCCGCCGTGCTTTAACTGCGTGTGGACGCTCGAGGCTCTCGTGACGCCTAATCGCTATCGAAGGGAAGCTTGTGCTGGAGGCAGAAGAATGAAAAGACCTCCCTACCGCTCTCATCACGTCAGCGACTGTGGTAGCTTTCACGAAAGAAGCGGTAATGTGCTTTTTGCAGAGATTTGAATTATCTGCATAACATAGAGATGTGTGGGAGGGTGGACAGTCAAGGGGAATCGTTCTCAGAATGCATTCACATTGGACTAGGAATACATTTCGGCTTCCAAAATGCGTTTCACCACACGTATAATGATACTAGATGGTGTATCAAGGTATCCAGTATCTAGGGCTGTGCAATTGATTGACTCACCTACACATAAATCGGTTAATGCTTTATTAGCAATCATTATGTTAAAAGAGTGGCACGTTTTAACTTGTGAGGCAGACATACTGCAAACATTGAACAAACATGTTTCTCCTTTTACTTTTATTTTTTTACTCCGGGTTTAAGTGTAGTATGGTGGGGATATCAAGTTCTATGAGGCGAAACACATGTACGACGAAACTGTCCGATCCGACGTCCGACCGCGCAATACGACGGTCGGAGGCGAGGGTTTTCAACGCCCTCCGATGCTACGAAAACCCTCTCCCCCCAAGGTCATTCCGGCAGTCCGCACGTCGGATCGGACGGTTTCGTCGTACATGTGTTTCGCGCCTTAGTTGGACACCATAGGGCGGTCGACCCATGGAGTGGCGCCGCGAGGACTACAAGGGGGAAGGGGCAGAGGTAAGGCGATGCGCTGAAAGGCTGACACTCCCCCTCTCCCCTTACGTAACCTTGCTACGGTGTGGTCAACATGAGTGAGCAAGAAGCCCGTGCGGGGATCCCGTAAGGGGTAAGCGACGCCCAAAGGAGACTCGGGATCCCACCTTGAGGTTGACGCGGACCATCTCGTCGAAGGCGCTCTCGTCGGTGTTGAGCAGGAAGCTGTGCGTGAGGCAGCCCGCCGAGTTGACGACCACGCTCGGGGAACAGCTGTACAGTCTCCGGACGGTGTCGAACAGACTCCGCACCGACTGGGAGTCCCCCACGTCCACCTGGACCGCCTGGTGCTCGCTCTCGTCTGCGGAGGAAGCGCCAGAGGGGACATCATCAGCGGGCCAAGCCCACGTCCAGGCCGGGGGGCTGAATTTTCAACGTCACCTGAGAGACAAACGCGGGGCAGAGATTAGACACGCGCGCTACGTCAGCGTTCGGCTGAGACTTGGGTCGTCGCTCCGAACGCTGACGCAGCACTCGTGTCCACTCCGCGCCTTCCGCGTGACAAGTCCAACACGGCGACCTTGTTGTGCGGATGAATGGATGGATTCAATGTCTGTACCCCTTATAACGGAGGGTAGTTTACGCAACCTAGCCTAGAAACCAGAACGTTTGATTCATCCCCTCGCCCTTCTAAGTAAATTTGCTCCCCCTCTGCATTTTCAATTACCAGGCAGTGTGGGAGATTGCCCAGATGATCTTTGGGGGATTGGGCAAACAAACTGAAACCATCACCCCCCCCCCCTCCCCGCCCCCTCCCGGCGAGGGAGTCGCCAATTTTCCTCTGGTCTATAGTGTTGACTCAACATACCCCTTCTTTTCAACGTCCCATTACCAATACGACAGCACTATACCAAAACAAAATGTCCACGCGTCCACCTCCCGCCCAGGCTCCGTCCGTTTCACCTGATGGCGCACCGCGGAGGTCACTACGCGCCGCGTGAGTGCCACGTGGACTTCGGGAAGAGCGCAGCGACACGCGTGTATGGGCGTACCAACCGGGGGAGGGGGGGGGGGGGGGGGGGGGGGCAAGGGGGCGCTTGCCGCCCCCCCCCCCCCCCCTCCCGGAAACCACGGCCACCGGACAGGGCCACCGCACAGGGACAGGCCAAAATGCCACCTAGCCAAGGGCACCGCCCCCCAGCCCTAATGGGAGGTGGGGGGGGGGGGGGGGGGGGGGAGGTTCTGGTTTACCTTCCCACTGGAAAACAAGTTGGTACGCCACGGCATGCGTGGGCGCGTGGTCCCGTGGTGCGTTCACAGCGTTGGATTGGTTGGATCTGTCGTAGCCTCTGCTGCGATTCGTAGTGAGATTAAACAAAAAAGGCCCCTTCCCCCTTTAAACAAAAAAGAAAAACACGTTTTGTTGTTTTTACCGCAAAAAAAAAACTATGTATTGCCGAACGCTCATTCTCCGCCCAAAGGTAGCGCTAGAGGTCTGAACTAGATGCCAAAGTTTGAAAACGAACCGTTATCTTAATTTAATAAAAAGCTATAAGTGATTTTTTGAAAATTTCAATGGGAAAATGGGGCCCATTCTTGCCCGTTTTCGATTTCTGGCACCATAGGTCTCCACGTATTCGAGTGCTCCGTCGGACACCAATTTACCGTTGAATTTTTTAAAAAAATCAGGACTTTTGAATAAGATATCGGTTCGTGTTGAATTTTTGGCATCGGGTTCGAACCTCTAACGCTACTTTTGGGCGGAGAGTGATCGTTCGGCGATTGTAGCTCATTTTTGCAATAAACAAATTTCCCGCTTTTTTTTTTTTTTTTTTTTGTTTAGCATTTTGTACATGGCTTGAGCCGATCACTGTCATCTACAGGAAGAGGAAGGCTTCAAGAAAACTGGCCTAGAACGCACATCGGTAATTTTAGATAAGAGCGAACGAATGGTGACTGATCGACAATTTTAATTAACTCGATGTTTAAAGTGGCCTTGCCTCATGTAAAGTATAAACATATGCATAAATATCTTCGGCCAGCAACATTATCTCGGGACAAGAAATCGTAGATCACACTCGTATTTACCCGCACCACCGGAGTGGTCATATCTAAAAAGTTCATTTATTTTTTCGAAAAAAAAAATATTATTCGAAAAGAATAATAATATTTGTTAATTGTGTTAATAGTTTTACAATTCTCGTACGTAGCACCCTATGGACGATTGTTTGTAAAATGTGCAGGCCCTTCGGGCCATCTCGTCGAAGGTCAATTCGTCGAAGGTCAACTCGTCGATGGCCAACTCGTCGAAGAGGCCAACTTGTCTTAGGTTCATTTGTAGAAAGGGAAACTCGTTGAAAGGGGCAATTTGTCGAAGGGCAATTCGTCGAACTTGTTGAAAGATAGATTCGGCTAAAGGTATTTTTTAATGTGGTTGTTTGCTTTCTATCCTTTGTCTTGAAATATAGGCTTTCCTCCAGCTAACAGTAGTGCAATGGTAAGGCAAAAACTTCGAGGTCGAATTCTCGAAACGACCATGCGTTTGTGCCCTCCTACTCCAAAAGTATTCTAGTTTTCATTTTAAATTTTTGTTGTCGCTGGGATGCTCGCAGACGTTTACGGGAGCTTGTACCGCCACTCTGAAGGACGGATTGAGTTCGCGTCCGTAGTGCTCCGAAGTCGCAGTGTACGTGGAACCTAAAAAGGGATACTACGATGAAATTTGGGCACTTATTTCTTGGTCTATACGTGTTCAAAGGACACCAATCTCTTGTTGAAAAAGACACGAAAAGAAATTTTAAAACGAATTGAACGATTAGTAAATGGCACCTGGTGGATGTCGCCAAAGCTTCGTATGTAATATCCTTCTAGGAACATTGACAGGTAAGTGACCTGACGTCATCCCGTCGGCTCTCCGGCCACCACGAGAGAAGAGGGGAAGGAGAAACTTCCCTCTCACCGGGGCTCTCCTTTGTGTGTCCCAGACTTGTCCAGACGTCGCGATTGTCACTCTATAAGATTATAGAAGATTAACCCGTTACTCAAATTTCGTACAAAAGCAGCTTTGTGGTTAGTTGCGGTGGCCCGATCACTGGCATGCTTCTGCCGCTTCGGTGGCTGGAACTAATGGAACGGGTGGTGCACGAAACCACCCGATGTCAAAAGCCCCCTGTCAATTTCCCTGCGGCAAACGCCCCGTCCTTTCTGCCCCGCTTTCAGAAGCCCCATGTTTCAGAAGCCCATGACGCGGATCCCCCGTGTCAGGTGGCCGGGTCTTCAGCGTGACGGTTGGGCATTCTGCTTTTAACTTTGAGACGGTAAAGGCCGGTCCAAACCAAGCAGGAAAACGGGTCCCGGAGAAATCGGAGTGATGTCAAAGGTAACGTGAACGTGACGTCTTGCGGTCCAAAGTTGAAAATATCCATCTTTGCCCGGCCCCGGAGAGAGCTCCGCTAAGCGCCGGAGAGCCCTTTCGACCAAGCAGGGGAAGGCGGTCCACTTTCCTCGCCCTCCTTGCATACCTTGAGTGTGTATGTATTCCCGAAAAGCAAATAGCTATTCGGGAACACAACAAAACGACGAAGGGAGGTTGCTTTTGGGTTCCGCCCGCCTCATACTTGCGGGCCCGTCTTATGGCTTGGTTTGGACCGCGCTTAAATAGGCACGCAGCCTTGTGTAACGTAATCATGCCGTACCGGGACTCAAGTAAGAAATAACTGGATAAAGCTTCCCGTTTTTCGGGCGTGCGCTAAACACATTCACGTCTTGCGGCATTAGAAGTGAAAATAAGCAGAAAATATCAGTCACTGCCAAAACATTAGAAGTGATAGCTTTTAGCAATAAACCAAAGCTTTCGTCGAATTTGAAGCACGGGCGGATTCACAATTCCGACGAATTGAGTTCTGTCAAAACTGTCAACCCGCAACTCATGGCGCCAAACTTACCACAGCACCAAACACTGGTTCCATTCTTATGTCGTTCTAAAACAATATTTGTATCCATCTAGGTAGATAAGGTCCATAATTCTGCGTCTAAGTATAGTGACAGTATACCTCTATGACTGCGGAGTGCATCGCTGGTGATGCAGATTTATACAATTGGCCACATTTTACGTTACGCGACGGTTCAACTTATCCTTATTTTGTTGTTCCTTTTATTTTAAATACACCTTGTAGACCCTGAACAGATTAGGTTAAGACATGGAACATTGCTGGTTGAAGCGCGAGAGGGTGGGACGAGGAAAGTGAGGACGGGACTTTGGGCCACTGACGCGGGGCTTTTCCGTCAGGGATTTTGCACGCAGGGAAAACGGCTAGGGCATCCTGTCGACGTCAGCCTCGCTTCAGCTTTGCTCGTCCCGAGACAGGCTACGTCACGTATCACGATTGCGCCGGATGTTGCGTGCTCTCCGCTGGCTGCTCTGCGAGCGCTTGCCAGAGTGGGCCGTTTAAGGCCGGTTCTCACATGCAGCGAAGCGCTCATGTAGCGCTACTCACGTGTCGTCGGCTACTTATCGTCTGCCATGAGCAACAGTTTTGACGGTGCAATACAAACCAGGTGAACTCTACCGTGAGCACACGCTTAGCGCGAGGTCAGCGCTATGCCTGTAGCGCTCCGCTGCATGTGTGAACAGGCCTTTATAAGGAAAAATGTAGCCAACAGGCTCAAAATATAAACGTGCGATTGTCATTTACGGATATTGTGGATCATACTCAGCCTATTTCTGAACACGACGGGTATATATTTGAAGTTTCGGTGAAGTATCCCTTAGAGAGTACTAAAACACACACACACACAAAAAAAAAAACTTTTTTGTTAGGCGAGCCTCATAATGTCAGGAGCCTGCCCAGTGAATATTTTGCTACAACGTCATGCATATTTTTTTTAATAAAGTCAAAAAGCGCAACTGCTCAAAAGCGAAACTGCACTGGGGAGGAAGAAGCAATGTAGAGGAGAGAGTTGCCAAAAATCACGTGGCTGTGCAACTTTTTTTTTTTTTCAGTCAACGTTTGTGCAGCTTTTAGAAGTCACGAAACATTGGTATCATTGTTGTTGTTGTTGTTGTTGTTTTTTTGTTTTTGTTTTGTGTGTTTCTTTGATGACCACGAGTGTGAATATACATGGTGGTTTTGTTTAAACTAGTGATGTGCCGAACTTTTGCCGAATTTCGGCGCCGAATCAATTGAAAGAAAAAAGGTAATTTCGTCAATGGACGCATAAAACAAGTACAAACTTGCTACCCACAACACTAATGGAAGGTTGCGAGCTCGGTGTTCGCGAACTTATTGGTTGTTACAGCGTGTTGATTCGTCCACTTTGTCTAACTCTTTCGAATTTTTGAATCTATTACAAACGAGCTCCAAGATCCCCGAGCTTCGCTTCGTCGAGATTCCTGGCACTTGCTCGTCCACATAACTCAAAATGCTAACGGAAAGGCTCGAAAAAAAAAACAACAGGCATGTGTCAAGACAAAATTTACGTACGGTTCGGGCTTGTGCTGAAGCTTCGAGGTCTGGCCATTTAGGTTAGTTTAGAGACTCAAAAACGATGCGCTCGGGACCAGGAAACGTGAGATAACGGCTGTTTATAATCCACGCTCTGTGTATGATCTCTTCTCGACGTGTCGAACGAAAACGAAACCATGCCGCTAGTTGGCCAACTAGTTCCCAGTAGGGGTGTCGCGAACTTTTGTCGAACCAGATTTTTTGGTCGAACTTTCGGGGTTCGACTGGGTCGAACCGGTTCGACGAACCTTCGAACTTTTCACCAGATTCGACCGGTTCGACTTTGTGGACAGTGTGGCCAGACCTTGATACAAGCATGTCTAGGTTTGGAGAATTTCTTTTTTTATGCAAAGGGTTATTTTATTGTGTGAACAACTGCAATTAAAAGAAACTAATTCTATTCACTGAAGAAGTTAATGACTTAAATTTTAGTACTGTATTGACTGAAATAGCCGATCAGCGCTGCACTTAATTCATTTCTTAGCCATTACCATCCAATCCGAAGCCAACTGGCCAGCCTGTCGCGCATGCGCACACGAGTCGAACCTCAATACAAGGTTCGACGAACTTTCCACTAAAAGTTCGACAAAGTCGAACCTGGTCGAACTCGAACCGCGGCCGGTTCGCGACACCCCTAGTTCCCAGAGTGCAACGCGCGCAGTGTTGCTCGCAGTGATTTATGGAAGTAGTCCATTCTGTATTGTTGAAAAAAAGGCGGTAACACTGTGTTCCACACTTCCTCTGCGAGTCACCGGACGTTTAGGAACATTGGAAGAGTTAGGAATGTCGGATGTGCAACATCAAGAATGATAGTTTTGTGTTTAGTTTTATGTGGATAGATAAAAACCGCGAAATAATATTTTTTTTTTTTTTTTTGGCACAGACTATTTTTGAGCCGAAAACAAGATTGCTAGAATGGCGATGAGTGATTTAGAGTAGGGGTGTCGCGAACTTTTGACGAGCCAGATTTTTTGGTCGAACTTTCGGGGTTCTGATTTAAAAGGTTAAAAAGCGCAACACAACAAGGACAATAAAGACACGAAGACGACAGGACGGGCGCTAGGGGTTCGACTGGGTCGAACCGATTCGACGAACCTTCGAAATTTTCACCAGATTCGACCGGTTCGACTTTGTGGACAGTGTGGCCAGCCCTTGATACAAGCATGTCTAGGTTTGGAGAATTTTTTTTTTATGCAAAGGTTTTTTGTTTTTGTTTTTTATTTATTTTGTGAACAGCTGCAATTAAAAGAAACTAATTCTAATCACTGAAGAAGTTAATAACTTAATTTTTAGTACTGTATTAACTGAAATAGCCAATCAGTGCTGCACTTAATTAATCTCTTAGCCATTACCATCCAATCCGAAGCCAACTGGCCAGCCTGTCGCGCATGCGCACACGAGTCGAACCTCAATACAAGGTTCGTCGAACTTGCCACTAAAAGTTCGAAAAAGTCGAACCTGGTCGAACTCGAACCGCGGCCGATTCGCGACACCCCTAATTTAGAGTACTTGTCCGCCAATGGTGAAACTACCATGTTGTTTCACATGGAAAGATGAAATCAAGGTCCCGTCATCCCGAATGATGCCGCATCATTTATCACTTTCGCAGTGAACTGCGTCATTTTTGCGTCCATTTCTGGTCGATCTTCCGTTCTTGAGGCAGAAAGTGTTGAAGAGAACCACACTCAGAAAGGCTGACAAACACACATTTACCATGTCGCCTACTCCGTACCTCGCCGTAACCGCTGGTAGTACTACGCTTCGATGGTAACCACACGACCAGACGGCGTCGATTTGCAATCGATGGCCCCGTCGCGTACTCGCTTGTGCACATACGTTTGCCGCATTTTTGCCGACTTTTGTCGAAATTTCCTTCAAAAGTTTGGCATGGGCCGAACTTTTCGAATCTCAAGTTCGGCAGATTCGGTCCATCACTACTTTAAACCATAAAGAACACCACGTGACAACGGAGTGAGCGTGTGCACGCGCTCACTCCGGGGTCACGTGCCGAGAGAGTGAGCGTTACTAAAACCGGCCACTTCTCGATCGGCGGTTTTAGGTTGGAAAGAAAACGAATTTCGAGTCGCAAATTTTGTTCTGGGTAGTGGGGCCCTCATACGTCCCGTAATAAAAACCCTGGCGAGCATAAATACCCTGTCAGTGTCCCTTTAATGCGTTTAAAACGACTGAAATCTAATACGCTATTTTTCTGGGTCTCCTACGACACCCATACTGTACCGCACTGTCTTCCTGTTAATAGGGAGTTTTAGCAAACCGTTACCGTGTTCCGCGTATCGCACTACCGGAGCCTTTGAAGCGTGCTTTTAAACGCGTGCCCGGAGGTCATGGTATCACCCGGGAAAGCCTAATTCAAAGGCTCCCGTACTGCGGTACGCGGAACACGGTAACGAGTTGCTGAAAGTCCCCAATATTTCTGGTCCCCTCACCGGCACGATTTGGCCTTTTTTTTTTTTTTTTGCCCGTGGTACTTACGTCGTTTGTAAAGCATTATTAGAGAGCTGGACTTCATATAAAAAATAATTACCTCGTCCCACAGGTAAACGATGCAACAAAAATATTCAGCAAAGCGCACAGTAATTATACAAATTGCGGCCCACACGAGTCAACGATAAAATATAATCGTGTTCGAATGCAGTAGTCAAATGCGGTGTAAGAGGGACGACCAGATGCCCTCTTCGATGTAATGTCCGTCGGCGAGCTCATTCGACAAGTTGGCCTTAGACGAGTTGCCCTTCGACGAATTGCCGAGACTCATTTTATGACTATGAGTAGGGCACCGTGCTTTCAGTGAATACCGACAAGTTCCGAAAATTAACCCCCGCGACGATTTTATAAAAACCGAGGAATACCGAAAAGCCCCGAATTTGAGCTGTAATGAGAAAACCTCAAATCTCGTGGGAAGGAAATACACTTTTTTTCTCGTTTTGGTAACGAATGAAGCGTTCACTAAACTACCCGGAAAATTGTTTTTTTTTTTTTTTTTTTGCTTTTTTTTTTCCCCTTTTTGGTACCGGAACGTTTTACAAATATTCGGGTCACGTGCATGCGCCCTAAAGGTTGGCACAGAAAAACCCCGAATCTGTGCACTGACACCGAAAAACACAGACAGCGGCGTACTATTCTGTTTTTGAGTGGGAGAAGGGGGGGGGGGGGAAACCAGTCCCCCATCCCCTCCCCCCCCCCCCCCCCCCCCCCCGCACACACACACAGGGCCAGGGGACGGTGCCCTTGGTATCCCTTTGGCGCCGTCGGCCAGTGTTTGCCCTGCCCAGTGGCGGCTGTTTAGGGTGGGGGCAGAACTTATGCCTTGCCCCCCTCCCCCCCCCCCCCCCACACACACACTCTGAGAACTTCGGGGGCAAGCCCCCCCTTGCCCCCTCCCCCCCCCTTCCCTCCCCCTCCCCACCCCGTTAAATTAACAATAAGGAAAATAATAGACGAAAAAACACCCCTGACTTCAAAGAGAAATAAACCCCCGAATATACGCAACTCGACTTATAACATATTTGAAGTACGTAGAGAAAATCTTAACAGCACATTGCCCTTACACGTGGATATAAAATGACGTGAATAAGTTGCCTAGATATCAGCACACAAACGCGTGATCGGCACCTAAAAACAATAAACTAAAAAACGAATTCCGCCTTCGATTGTATGTGAGAAAACATGATTACGCTTTAAGATAAGGACAGAGAAAGAACAGACAGCTCAGAGCGCTATTTGAATATTTGTACTATTGCTCTACCTTACATGAGCGCCTATCCCCGTCAAAGACATGTTGAATAGTATGGTTTAGGAAGGGAGATACAACCCTTCTTCAGAACCCCCTTTTTTAGTGCACAGTACGTGATATGCACTACATGAAAATAAATTCTAACTTCTAGTTTATAGAACGTGTGTATTTTATTATTGTTATAACAAGGTCATTCATATTTACGGAAATAGCTTGGTCGCACGTGATCAACCCCTCTCACTTTTTTTTTCACTCCTCCTCACTCGCGGAGAAACGCGTTTTTAACTTTTATTTGTGATCAACTTCGGAGTTATGCGCGTCAAATGACTGCAACACAAACAACTCCGCAGCCTGTCGCAGCCAAAAGATGGAACACAATCTGAGACTGTCACTATACTCACTTGGCAGGCTCCTAAGGGTATTGAGTGCCATATCCTTGTTGACATCGGCTACCACGACTTTGGCACCTTCGAGGGCCAGACTCGCGCAAACCGCGCGTCCAATGCCGCTTCCGCCGCCTGTCACGAGGGCCAACTTTCCGACGAGCATTTTTGAATCGCGCACAACCTACGCTTGATAGTTTTTCTGCGCTTCGAAGACGCGACGAGCGAAGCGTCGACGGACACCACGCGAAGAGTCCCTTTGCGGGGGCTCTTGTCTTGGCTGATAACAGATTGGCGAGATAGAGGACAGAGCGCTCATGCAAACAAGCGAGTGGTTGGGGCCGAACGCCAAACTCCGAAACCGATGGGAGGGTTTAATGTTTAGAGCTATTTTTGTTTCGTTATCGCACCTGCTCAACTCGGGAATGGCTAGTTCGATTTCTTTTTCCCCTGCTGGGAACTTTAGCCTTTATCGTCGAAGTAAATGGTAAAATCTACCTGCGTGAAAATGATAAAACCACTTTTATATGCCCCGGTGTCTGAGTTGTATGGATATGGATAAATCCTCGCGACGGATGAACGGAAAGTTTTGGTTTCGTTTTCGCATCTTAGCAACACGAAGCATTACTTTGACGTTTTGTCTCTGTTCCGCATTTTTTATTTTACGACTAAGGAAGACGTGTACAACATCGGCATTCGGATCACACATTTTTATTCGAACATCCCAAGCAATCTGTGCGAAACACTGTTCAAGTCAGTTATCGAAAGTCGTAACGAGCGAGTACCGGACAACTTCGAGCCTCAGGCTTTCTTGGATATCCCATCGCGCTGGAGAACAACCAAAATGGCTGCCTCCTTCCAATAGATGGTCGGGCAGTTGGCTGGCTGTCTGTCAACGAAAACTGGAGTCAAAAATGCCTTTTTCGTTTAATTTCGAAGTTCCGGGGGCCGATGATGAGCCACGAGTTGAACACAAACATCCGACAAACGAGCAACATGCTGTTGTTAAACGTATTGCACCTTTCGAAGAGGTGAAACCAAGATTGGAGCACGAGCACGTGAGTTTGTTCATGTTACTGCCAAAGTAGACTCGCGCCACTTTACTTTCTGAACAGGTTCACGAGTCCTTAGAGAAAACCGTTCTGGATCTGACGAGCATGAAAGTCGAGTTTCTAGTCGGCGGTCAAATGGAACAACTTCTAAAAGGTGACTTAAAGGAGGCAGCCGACGAAAACTTGGACCTCGTCCCGAGCGTTTACGAAGGTCGGTATTGCGGAAGTGTTTCACCTCATAGCGCCTTCTTCTAAGCTCTGAAATCTGTAGCACACGTTGTCTTACAGGAGGTATGAAGATCTGGGAATGTTCAATTGACCTGGCGGAGTACGTTGAGAGCTCCCTCACCATCGATGAAGATACAAGAATTCTCGAGGTAAGCCACCCATAAGCACACTCAAAGAAAATAAAAAAAAAAAAGAAGAAGGCATGACACAGAACGATGATTTTTCGCTACGATTGCGCCTGTAGTTCACTTTTGCCGAACGTTGAATCATGGTTCATGCGAGTAGCCCCGGTAGCACTGTTTTCTCAATAGTACCAATTATAGTTCCTCAAAAGTTCACAACGAATCCAAATGTTTTAAATTATATACTAGCATTTGCACATTGTAAGTCTCACTTAAAATTTTATGATTTTGTTGTTCACCAACTCGTTGTTCGCAAGCACGCGTGCACCACACATTCACGGGAAGAAGCCTGTGTTTTCGAGAACAAAACATCTGCTGATTTCCAGTGTAGTAGTCAACGCCTCCAGTTTGAGGTGTGCTCAAAGACACCATGAGTTGCTGTGCAGTCACGATGCTTCTTAAATGACAAATGTTTATTGCAGCCAGATTGGAACGTCAATAGATGTGTCTGTCGGTAGCTTGTTCCACTGTAATGGTTGCAAACACATTGGATCACGCATGCCCTTGCCAAACTGGTGCCTTCCTCTTTGCCAACGACGCAGCTGGGATGCGGTGCTGGGCTTCCGGGGCACGTCGGCGGGATGAGAGGTGCCACGGTCCATTTTCAAGACTACGTACGTAGCCCTTGTCCTAAAGGCAGGTTCACACATTTGTGTTTGAGTGTGTGCTGAAGTGCATACTGTTCTTTCATAATCGTCTACAACGGGAGGGCACGTCGGTGTCGCGTGTCGGGTGGCCCATGAACTGCGTACAACAGACCGAAGGTTGAAAGCTGGGCTAGTTGGTAATCGTTGTACATAATGAAATAAAACAGCGCGAAGATAGAAATAGGGAGAGACACACCAGACAGGGCAGAGCGCTGACTCGCAACTACGGCTTCTTTACTCAACGAAAAAGAGAAAGACAAAGAGAAAGAAAAAAGATAAAAATATAAAGGAAAAGAAGAAGAAAAAAGACATTATTGTACGCAATCACACGCGCATCTTTCACCCATCGTAGCTGACTACGGCACGTGCTGAACCTTCTTTGTCAACTTCAGGAATTCCAGCTCCTTGCCTGACAATGCCACTGATGCTGCGCTGATACACTTTTTTCCTCTACTCTGGATGTGGAAGGCCTCCAGCACCTCGCGTGTCACTTTGTCCCTGTGTCGTCCCAAGAGCTTTAGGCTACAGACGGACAGACTGAGGAAAGCTGGCTATCCGACGACACTACTTTCAGGCGTCGCAAGCAAACTGCTGAAGAAAGTAAAGGGTAGCCAGTCTACACAACGGGATGTAGAACGCAAGCGACCTGTAGTTATCCCGTACTTACACAGGATTTCTCACAATTTAAAAAATGTTGGAAAACAATATGGGATTGCAGTGGTTTTCTCCGCACCACTAAAAATGAGCCAGATCAGCCCCAGAGTTCAAGCGAAGGCAGAGGGAATCGCCAGAAACAAGTGTAGCAAGAAGCACACCAGGCCGTTCGTCCCATGTGCCACGGGAGTAGTCTACAGTATCCCCCTCTCGTGCGGCTCCACCTACGTGGAACAAACGGGACGGTGCCTGAATGAAAGGCTCCGCGAGCACAGGTACTCCCTCGGAGCGACAGTGGGAGGACACCTATCGGTTCACTGTAAAGAGTGCCTTTGCGAGCCGTATTTTAGTGCCACCACCATCTTGGGACGACACAGGGACAGAGTGACACACGAGGTGCTGGAGGCCTTCCACATCCAGGGTAGAGGAAAAACGTGTATCAGCGCAGCATCAGTGGCATTGTCAGGCAAGGAGCTGGAATTCCTGAAGTTGACAATGAATGTAATGTAATGTAATGTTTCATTTGCTCAGGAGAGCCGCGGCACCGCAGAAAGGCAAGAGCCCGTACCAAGGAGGCCCGCGGTGCCGTGTCTAGTGATGGTGATTATGTGATGACGTAATGTACAGATGAAAGTTATGGTGTGTTAGGCCTAGCAGCAATCTTCGCGGTGGTCTTCGCGGTGCTGCCACGGGCTGCTTACTTCTGGTAGGCCGGTCTCAAGCGCCTGGAGAGGGCTCTTCGCGTGCCATGCTTGCATATGAGCCGGCCGAATTATTGGCGGCGCAGGGAGTCCAGCACCCCCGCAGGGGTTGGCGCCGGTGTTGGCCAGGTGGCGGTCTTTACGAAAGCGGGCCTTGGAGTGTCCCAGCTTGCGGTCCAGCTTGTAACTGGGCAGCGTGAGAACCCCCTGTCGATCGAAGACATGGTCTGTGGCACTGGTTTGGCTGGCTCTCTGACGATCGAAGAGACACGTCTTACGCCCAGGTGGCCAAGCGGTCTAGCGCACACCAGCTCCAAGTCCAGGTCCAGCACGTGCCGTAATCAGCTACCATGGGTGGAAGGTGTGCGTGTGATTGCGTACAGTAATGTCTTTTTTATTCTTCTTTTCCTGTATATCTTTATCTTTTTTCTTTCTCTTTGTCTTTCTCCTTTTCGTTGAGTAGAGAAGGCGTAGTTGGGAGTCAGCGCTCTGTCCTGTCTGGTGTGTCTCTTCCTATTTCTATCTTCGCGCTGTTTTATTCCATTATGTACAACAGACCGAAGGTTTTACAGTATTTGTGAGATCAAGTCTATGCACCATCTATGAGAAATTGTTTCTTATAACTAATGTTCAGCATTTCAGGCTTTTACTTTTTTTTTTAATTCGGTATACTTTTTTGGTTTCTTTTTTGAACGCGTCTTTGGTTTGTATCGGTGAATGCACATACAGCTAAACATGTTTTCATTGTTTTTTTTGACGAATATGTATTCTGGTTTAGCTTGCTGTTAACATAAAATGACAATAAAAATGGCATGTTTATTCATCAAACTGGAACGGGAATTAAGAAATTCACACAGACAAGTACAAGCGAGTGAGATATTGGTCCTCACAGCAAGCATACATTTCACTTCCAATCAAGCTGCATTGTCGCGCTCGTCAGCCTTCTACCGTCTTCGGTGACATGTAAGCTTTTTATTGCTTCCCGCAGGCTCGCGTGGGTTCTGCGCCTCTTTCCTATCTTTTATGTTGCGGCTTTTTTTTTTAATACTATGGAAAGCTTGGGAGAGGGGGTTAAAAAAAGGAATAAGGACTTTTCCGGGTGCCCTCTGCAGTACACAGTGCACACTAAGTGCAGAAAGATACCCGAACCACCCCTCGTGCACCCGGCGGTTGAAGGAACTGACCTTTCTCGGTTAAAACCGAATGTGGCAAAATAAATGCGGCAGACTTTTATTGTTTCTTCCGGTTTAAACCGAAAATGCTGAACTCTACTTAAAACTAAGGTTCAACGTTTTAAGTCTAAATTAAAAAAAAAAAAAGAAAAACTATAAAAGTGTGCCAAATTGTTTTTGCTGCTTTCGGTTTTAATTGAGAAGGTCAGCGGAAAAGGGACGGGGCTTTAGATACATAATTTGTGCACACTTTGTACCGCAGACGGCATCCGGAAAAGTCCTTAATCTTTTTTTTACCACCCTCTACCAAGCTTTCTGTAGTCATTTATTTTTAAAAATCCCCAAAATTAAAGATAGAAAAATGGGCAGGGCCCATGCGGGCCTGCGGGAAGCAATGAAACACTTACATGTCGCAAATGAAGACAGGAAGGTGCAACAATCCTGAAAAGCAAGAGACGTCGGGATGAGGTGGTGAATATTAAACTCTGCAACTGACTGACTAATTTATCTCAGAAACACAGGTGAAGGAAAAAAAAACATGTTTATCGTATTTACTTGCATTTAATGAACACACTTTTTTTTTCTGAAAAATTGACACATTTTGAGGGGGCAAGGCGGGGGGCGGGGCGCGGCATTCATTACACGGTAGAATTTTTGCATTTACACATTTCGTGCAAATGTCATATTAGGTGCCACTATGACGCAGCAAAGTACTGTGGCACATCTCCGCTGAGGGAGGCGCGCCATGGTAACCATGGTTTATAAATTGCGAACCTTTTAGGGTGCTTTCCGCATGCTTTTTGCCGAAGGAAAGGCGCCCTACGAAGGTCACTCAACACGAATAGCAACGCGACCTTTCTTAGGCCTAACCGCTTTCACTCGCTGTTCGAAAGCAAACCACAGACCGTGGCGTGTTTCTTGACATCTATGCATCCGATAGGCAAAGAATGTCCGGGGCTGGGCAATTCCTCGACCCAACCTTTGTCAAGTGTGCACATTGCTCGGTTTCACGGTAGATCACTCCCGCAACTATGCACTTGCAGCCACTTGCAGCCATTACGAGAGTGGCTTGTCTTGGCCTGACCTGACAGTTTGGCAGCAAAAAAATATTGCCTTTGTGGCTAGCTAAATTGGATGCAATTCACGACTCGCAGAGCTGAAAATTAAAGGGACACTGACACCCCCCCAAATTTGTTTTTCCTTTTTTGTCACGCAATTCATTGTTGTGTTGGAATACTACCAAATTAATATTTTGCTACAGAGTCACGTATTTTGTTAATAAAGCTAAAAAACGCAACTGCTCGAAACCGAAACTCCTGCACCCCACGGAGAAGTGGAGAGGATAGAGTGGGGAGGAGGGGCGGAAGTCACGTGGCTACACCCAACCGTGCAAGTTTTTTTTTTTTCTCCCTCTTTTGCACGTAGCACACGAATCACGTTCGTTTGTTGTGCGATTCCTTTGCAGTTATGTTTGTTCCGCTCGCTATTCTGTACTTCAAGATGAGTTGTTTTGTACATTTAAGTGTTGGCAATTAGTAGTGAGTGCCCGTGGTGAATTCCCGTCATCGGATCCGAAAAGAATACTCCCAAGATGTTGCCTGAAGATCCTCCTCACATGTCCTCATCTGAAAGTAGCATTGTGTGGCAGAGTGCACAAGTTTTCAAAAGATCAACGGGTCGTGATCAATGGCTGGCTGCAATTCCTGTAGAACAGTTACGCGAAGCTCGGAAAGCAGACGCTACCCGATTCATATGCTGCTTGCATTTTGTAGAAAGTGACTACATCAAGTTCGCAGGTATCAAAACTGGAATCCCATACCATTTAGTTCCGCGACGTATCGTCCACAACACTTGTTTTTTTTCAGTGATAATTGTAAAAATTAAATGTAAGCAATGCAAAATGCGTGACAAAAAAAAAAAAAAGGTACACCCACACCAGGGATCAAACCCGTGCCCTCCGCGTGTGAAGTGGACATCCTTCCACTGAGCTACTGAAGGAACTCTTTTACGCGTAGTAATGAAGCAGGTCGGACTGTACCTCGGAAGTTCGCTGCCAATTTCCCTTCGCTAGATGCATTCCTGGCTTGAACTCGGGCAGCACCATGCATAAGCCACATTCGCACCTCGTAAAGAAACAGTACGCGTGCATATTCAACTCAAAGTACGCACTTCGTGCTTGACGTTTGAGTGAGCGATGTCTTCAGCTTCGAGAAGGGACGATGACTCAGCAACGTCTTTGTGCGATCGGCTTGCTGGTCGGGCGTGTCGTATGAGATGAATATCAGTTCTTTTGATCGGTCGAAAATTTCTCTTTCGAAGGAAGACAGAATTCGCCGGTACAGTGAACGACAGTTCTGTAGTAGAGACCAACGCCCGTCGTCCGCTGTCATCCGCTAGCCCCACGATACGCGAAACAACGCCATGTTGAGAATTATGCAGTGAATGCACAGAATGCTTCCGGTTGTCTGTGCTACCTTTTTTTTTTCAATCAACATATTTGCAGCTTTTTGGAGGCCACAAAAAAATAGGTTTCATATTTCTTTTCTATTTTTACTATTGACTGTGTGCTCTCAATGACCCACAACTTTAATTAAATTTGGTGGTCGCGTCGAAACCTTAGAAAACGGCCCGTGACCACGGAAAAGAGAGTGAGCACGACTCAAACCGGCCAGTTCTCGATCCACAGTTTTCGGGCAGAAAGAAACCGAATATCGAGCCGAAAATTTTGTTGTGGGTTGTTGGGCTCTGATATGTCAAGTACAACTAAAAACCTCGGCGAGCATAAATACCCTGTTTCTGTCCTTTTAAAAATGCAATCATTATGCGAGGGGAAAAAAAAAATTCCAAATATTGCTACCCGTTTTGGGGATGCATTCATTATGCGAGTAAATACGGTGCTTGCACATTAATTCACCGATCAAAACCCAAAATATGTGTTCGAAATACAAACCAAAAAAAAGTATGCCATATTTTTAATATAAAAAAACTTAAAACGCTGGACCCTTAGTAAAACTAGGGTTTTGTGTCTTCGGTAAATTCCGAAGAACCCAGAAAATTAGCCACTGAGCCCATTTGATTGAAATCTGTTAAAACCAGAAAGCCCAGAATTGGAGCATTCCTCGAATAAAAAAAAACCCCAAGTGTCACAGAAAAATCTTTAGCTATGGCTCTGTTTTGTGCTGAATCAGGACACAGCTAGAATGTAACTGTTTGCAAGGATGCCGATTTCTTCTGAAACCTCATCTTGTTTCCGTCTCTTTTCGATGTCGGGGCGATTTCCAAGCGTTCGGCTCATGCGCACCTTCCCTAGCGCATGGGGAATCCTTCATTTATATCTTGTTTTGTTTCAGCATAAACCACAATAAACCCCCTCTTTTTTTCTTTTTTTGGGGGGAGGAGGCTGACAGTGAAAAGCAACAAATATGTAGAAAATAACAGAGCTAAGAGAAAGAAAAAAAAAAAAAAAACAGAAATCAGAAAACTTTTGGAACACGAAATCCTACTTATAACATTGTAAAAATTATTTCGAGCCTACAGTGGAAAAAATTATTCAGGTCACGAATGATCCATGTCTCATATTTTCATCCATATTACTTGCCTCTGCATAAAACCCACCCCGCCAAGTTGCTGCTCTCTCACATCACCCATGCCACATGAAGCAATATCTACCTCTCGCTAAAACCACATCGCTTAAGTCACTGCAGCTATCTGAGATGCCTTCGTTGTTGCAGGCAACGTCCTTATTCATACCGTAGAGGCAATTGCTGATGCGGCACTATTTGAAACTGTTCCGTGAGACAGTGGCTTCACGCCCAAGGACAGCGCGCGCTCTTGACTGTCGACGCAAGTATGAAACTGACGACAGAAGGGAGCGGAAGAGCGGCGTGCATGCTTTCGCATTCACAACTCACAAGAAGTGCTTAGGTGTACCTTGAGTCTTTTTGAGCTTGGTGCATGCACCAGTCTTCGGACCGCAAAATGATCTTCGGTCGCGGCTCGCAGTTAGCAGGCTCTCCTTCTAGAAAATCCCTAAGAGGGACCGGAGAAGAGGGGCTCTGGGGAATCTATCCCTGTGACTTCGCTCACATTGCAGTGAAGCCGCACTGCCCGCCGAAATTTGCGTATAACCCGTAACTCTGATTTTATATAAATGACGTTGTTGTACGCGAGAAAATGAAGTACTTGATAGATTGTGCCAGAGTGTACGCTCATTGTAAGTGGTTACGAGGGAATGCAGTCCACTCGAGTGAGTGTGTAAACTAAGGCTGGGCGTCGATTCAGTTTTAACCCGATTAATCGCCACCCTTTAGTCGATTAATTAATTGATTAAATGGTCTCGTTTATTTTTATGCATAACATTACGAAATTCGCAATTAATATATAGTTTTTTGGCCTTTGCTGAATATGTGATGAAAGGCGCAATATGGAACTAGGATTAAGAATCAGTGTCGATCAGCAGTCAAGAGCAACGACACTCACACTCAAAGATTATTAGTTTTGCTGCATGCGGAAAAAAGGTTATTTGATATTCTCCAGCAACGAGCAGCCTTCTTTGATCGTTCACAATAGACTCTGCTGTGCTAAACACAGCAGAACCGAGTTGAAGTGGCCGAGACACGTGTAACCTTCTGCTGTGTCTGGGGTTACAAATCTCGCCAATAGTTTACTTTGTTCTAAAATTTGGCCCAAAGTTTGCCCTCATACAGATGTACTCGCTTGTCCGCGTATGCGTGGTGGAAGCGTTTAATTTTTACTTCAGTTTGGTTCGTCAAAATGTTACCGATTAATGGGTTAAAATATTTAATCACAATTAAGGCATTAATTAATTATTCTGTAGGTTATTCAATCAATTGCCCAGCCTTAGTGTTAACCAGTCTTGACCCATTTGGCAGTGGAGGATTTGAGTCGATTGACCCCCCCCCCCCCCCATTTACTTGTCCCTTTCAGAACAAACAGGTGCTCGACCTGGTGACCATCCCCAATGCCTTTGCGAACATCGGTTCTGAGGTCTACAGGCGGTGTCGTTTCTTGGCCGGCGACTGGTCAGTCCTGCTTGAACACCTCAAAGAGCAGTGGTGAGCGTCCTGTAGTATTTGTTTCCCATTTTTGAAGGCAACTTGGGGTTTCTGTCACGAGTTGCCTGACCATTGCACTGTTATAGCATGTTTTGTGAAAGCTGAACTACATTTTGCACATTTATACGCGTGATCTAGATGTCATAGCTGCAAAATCATTTTGAAGCCATGGTGAGTTTGGGGCTTGGATCCTGCAGGGTTATAATTATTTGTGTGACTCGGGGTTGTTTCTTAAGACACTGTACTTTTTGTGCACCGTGTGAGATTCCGGCTTTCGGCTCTAAACACTGCTAGATGCGCGAGATTTCAGCATGTCCCTTTTTATGTTTTCAGATTTAAAGTGTCCCTTTCTGTGGCTTCATCAACACCAGCTATTAGAATTTTGTAGCACTGAAAGTCTTGAGTTAGGGCTATTATGACCAATGTATTAAATATTCTAACCATAATAATAGGTATTTACTACATTTGTGTTCTGATATATTCCAAAGAACATAAATCACGAATTGGGTGATAATCTTTTTTTTTTCAGATCTTAATTTGACAAAAGAACCCAAATTTTAAATGGAATTTGAGGAGGGGTGCATATTTTGTTACAGCTCCTAATCCATAGAACTATTCCCATGTCCTACATGTTGTTTTCTACATTTGCTTCGAATTTGTCTTTTGTGACTGTTCTTTTCTTCTAGCTACGACTTCATCCTGACGAGTGAAACTATCTACAGCAGTGCAACTTACCAGGATCTCATAGAGATTTTCAAAAAGTCCCTGAAGCCACATGGCCTCATGTATCCTTGAAGTTCAGGTTTTAGTGCAGTTGAACACCTGGTATTGAAAGACAAAAGAAATCATGCTGATTGCAAAACCAGTTGCTACACTTGCAAGGGCTTTCTTTTGAACTGGAATTTACCAACTGCAGTCACAGCCCTTTCAAAATGTCACAAGCAAGAGTGTCTGGCTCGAAATATCTTTCTCGTATATCTCTGCCTTCCCTGAATAGACAAATGTTGCAGTAAAACAAGACAGTAATAGACGATGCTGTTTATGATTAGTTCCTGTCATGCAGCAATTTCAGAATACTTGTTTTCATCTCAAGATCCCAAGTTCTGTAGTTTCCAATGTAAAGTCACTTTCCTTTTCCTATTGAATGAGTTAAAACAGTGCAAAAAGACCAAGGACCAGTGAAACGGAACACACAGACACAGTGCTGACTTACAGCTGAATTTTTACATCTGCGCCATTCAGCAAGTAAACATGAAACGAGATAAACCTACAAGCAATTGACCCGATAACACGTCATCTTCCCATCAAGCCGACACGTGGCTACACACATTTACCCGCCTTTCTGATAAAATTTATCTCATCACTAGCCAGGGCAAGTGACAGAACACTTATGCATATGCCCAATAAAAAAAGCTTTGCCAACCTCCTAAGCATACTTAGTTTTATGTCAGGCTAAAATCTTAATTTCATTAAACATTGGAGAGCGTGCACATCTTTCACACTGGACCGCTAAGTTGCCAGACGGGGAGGAGTGTAAGACAGAGAATGTTCCCTCGCTTGGTCATTAACACGTCACGTGTCGGCTTGATGGGAAGATGATGTGTTATCAGGTCGATAGCTTGTATGTTTATCTCGTTTCAAGTTTACTTGCTGAATGGCGCAGAAGTAAAAATTCAGTTGTTAAGTCAGTGCTGTGTCTGTGTGTTCCCTTTTGTACTGAAGTACAAGAAGTACAACACAATCTTTCATTATGCCCTTTCATTCTCCTATAGTTTCTTTTTTTTTCTAGCATGCATTTTTTGGTGTATTTTCGGAATTGGTGTTGAATATTAGTTCAAGTCATGTGGCCACAAAGTAGTAGTTTTATTCTCACTGACAAACTATTTAACACAAGCATCATTTTGTGGTATAAATCTAACAGGACAAAATTTAAGTAGTGTACTTTGAAGTAGGCAGTTGTAGTTTCCCCGGAAAGTACCAGAAAAAATACTTTAAGTAAAGTAGAAGTGTATGTTCAGAGAATGTACTTCAGGTAAGGTACAAGTTTTCTAAACCTACTTGAAGGTATTTAAAGTACTTCCCAACACTGCATATTGGATACATCGATCATAAGCTGCTTCAAAAATATTTTTTTTTATAAAAAAATTGGCATAATGTTAAACTAAAGATGGAAAAAACCAACTGTGCAAACATTGCCAAAATGTATGCACTCAATTTTATGTGATGTGGTGGATGTGTTAGCTGCATCTTTTTGTTTTTTTTAAAAGAGGCCGTGAATGTTTATTTAAAAGCAACCCTTTTATTAACTAGAAGATTATGCACTCTTTATTGCTCAGTGGCCGTATCATTAAACTACTTGCAGCCTGCTCTGATGCCCTTGAACAAACATGGTCGCTTCCATCATATTAAGTAATTGCCCCCTGGGTTTCACAGATGCACATTTCTGACGGGAATATGACAAGTAACAAGCAAAACATAAAACAGGACAAGCGGCGATCTTGTTCACTTGTTCTGTTTGCCCTTGACCGTGGTGCCAATATGCTCTCGCTATGTTTATCCAACAAACATAACAGTTTATTTTGGTACCAAAAAAAAAAATGACTTGTGCTCCGCTCGTCAGACCCCAATGTGCGAATAAAAATTACTCTGATCAAGAGTATAGTTCGAAAGGTATTTCTCTCCAAAATTGTGTTTATCAAAGCCTCAAAACCCACTTTTGCAATCAAGAATTCGCTATACTTCCTTTAGCACATGGCTTGTCCATTCTTGCTTGAGCAAGTGTCTTGTCCATTCTGGCTTGAGCAAGTGACTTGTCTATTCCTGCAAGCGTTTTCACTTGTTGAGAAGGCAACCATGCAGGACAAGTGTCGATGTCTAATGTGTCTAACGAGAACTGCAGTCCAGCTACGATTCATTGCATACAGTTTGTTGCATCCTCTGTGGTCCATCTTTTGATAGACGGCAGAGGACAGAACAAACCATCAAAGCCAATCCCATGCTGCACGAGGGTTACGTAACTTTTGGAAGGGGCGAAGTGACATGCAATATGCTTAGTCTCATGATGTGTTCACAACGCTGAACTCTCTGGGGCGGCTCATAGTACCACGGCCGGACTGGAAGCGCATGCTCTCTTTCTTTTACGGCCTTTGCAATCGCCCGGGAGTCAATGGCGTTTGTTCTCCGTATGTAGTTCACTTGCTTTCCGCCAGGGGCGCAACCACCTCACCCCACTTCACCCCACTCGGAGAGTCCCTTCGAGCTGCTTTGCGCTGGTGTTCGAGCTTCGTAGGTTGTTGTTTTGGCAACGGTTACTCAGAATACTTCTGATGAATCATGCAAAGACGGTCACAGACAGAAACGAAAAATCAGCTGGATATGTGCACAAGCCCTCAAGGAAGCACTTTAGTCTGTAATATGCACTGTGCGAAAATTGTACAGACTACTACACTTTCGTCTAGAGCAGCTCACCAACTTCATGTGCGGACTATGAAATGATGATGCAGACCACGGCAATAGACAGACTGTGCCTGCTTACATTTCACGAGAGTGTACGAATTATTTATCATTTAAAGTTCCTCCACGTAAAAGGGGTCCGTCTCTTCCTGTTCTTGAGTTGCAACAGAAGTCCTGGAGGTAAAGACGAGTATAGTTTTTTCCGCAATTGCATTCGCTGTCTGTACTTACTACTTTTTACTCCTGAATATCCCGGAGATGTGCGTCAAATGTTCACCGTTTAGGGCTCATTAGAAGCGCATTAGGTAGTGGCTGAGGGTCTAAACGTAAGGATCAGTTGTCAAAGGCTATAAAAATCTCTGCCGCAAGTTGCGACAGCGTTGAGATACACTGTCAGACGCGCTTTGTGCAAACGGCAACAGGTAGTCCAGGGGTGAGGTGACGGCGCCCCCCGCGAATTGCAGCGGGAGGTGGCGATTGCCCCAATTGCAAAGGCCGTAAGAAGAGAAAGAGAGCGCGCGCTTCCAGTCCGGCCGTGGTAGTACATGCTGCAGTTCATCGTGAAATGACAGAGTATACCGTAAAATACCGGGCAAGCACCCACTCAAAATTTTGAGATAATCATGAAAAAATGGGGGGTGGGCGCTTGTCTGGTCATCAATTCTAGATATCAATGTACTGTGCATATTTTCTCAGATTTTACAAATTTGGGAGTGGGCGCTTAATGTGGTATGGGCGGATGCACGGTATTCTACAGTAGTGCTTGTAACATACTGTGTTCATTCATTTTGAAATGCTCTTAGTAAATCTTATTCCTTGACCCAAGCCCCAGTCTTGTTGCTGCAAAGACATGCTACTTTGGAGTTGGGGGAGGAACCAGACAGTTTGAAGAGACTGTTGCCAGTGATGGAACCTTCAAGTCCCGAGTCGTGTTTGTCACAGACACTGGAGTACAAAGGGAAATTTTGGAGCTGCGAAGGAAGTCGGTCGATGCTTCCTACTAAGAAAATAAAGCTTGTATAGTTGGTTTGTTTTTAATAATAATTGAGGCTTACCAGTTTTTTTTGCTTTGCAATTCTTTAGCTCCCAGCATAGGCATGTTTTGCATGGCCTAACCAGTGGTTATGGTTAGGCCATATCCCAGGTAGCACCCAATGTCGTGCGAACATTGCTTAGATGTTCTGGATGTTGAAGGAACGTTAAAACACCATTCAGAACGTTCTAGGAACGTTTGTATGCAAACATTCCCTACAAAGTAATCTGCTCAACATTCTAGGAACGTTCGTCGGCAAACATTCGTATGCACAATGTCCTCGGAACGTTCCCCTTCGAACATTCATATGCGCAACATTCTTGGAACGTTCGCTTGCAAACATTCCTAGAATTTTCGCAGGTGAAGTGAACCTCACGGAGCTCTCACGCAACCTGCGGTTCGAAACACCATCCACTATATGCCACTTTGTGCCAAAAATATGCAAATTAAGTGGAGTTTCTGGAAACTTGGGATAAGGGATCAGTTTTATCTTATATTGGTCTACCGAGTAATGTGTTATAAGGTGTAGGAAAAAAGAAATGGTTTTCAAAATTTGGTAATGACCTTGGTACTCACTGCATATGTAGAGGGGCAGTTTTGAATAAACCAGAATTTTTGTATCTGGGGTCTAAAAGTTTGAAAAGGGTATTTCCCAGTTGGATGTGGGATGCCATGTGTATCTGTTCTTAAGCTCGGACTGAGTAATCTGTTATATATACAGCAGATTTTGAATGAAAAATGTTGACAAGTGACAGGTAGACTGTAGAAGTAAACTTTCATTAGTAGGTGCGCTGGGAAAGCGGCTAGCTTGAGCTTGCGCCTTCTAAAAACCTGTTTAAATTTATAAATATTGACCTGTGAAAAGCTTTATCACATCCATATATGTGGTGCGCCTCAATGGGGCTGTAGCCTAAGCGAGCTATTAATGTGGAATCTTTGTATATAGACCTTAGAGAAGATTCCCTGAATGTAACGATAGAACCACGCCACGTTCCGAGGAAATTAAAAGGATGTCCTTGCATAAATTTGCAACTTTTCAAGAAAGTTGCAGAAGTTCTTTGGATGTTCTGAGAACGTTCTTAGAACGTTATGACATTTGAATGTTAATTGAATGCCCTGGTAATGTTCTAAGTCATTCTCAGGACGTTCTAATAATGTCAGTGAGAAAACATTCCCCAAGTGTAGCGATAAGTGTCTGCACCACATTCTGACAATGTTGATAGAATGTTCTTACGTAAATTTGCAACATTCCAAGAATGTTGCCTATGTTCTTTTGAACATTTCCGGAATGTTCTCAGAACGTTCTCGTGCTACGTGGGATATTTTGCAGTTTTAACCGGAAACACGCTGATAATCGTTTGTGTACAAAAATAGGTTGGTTCAAACTTAATACTCCACTTTTTTTTTCTCTATCTAGAACCGCTTCCGGAAAATCTATGGCCTAGTTACGGCGCAAAGAAGTATCTGGTGCAGACCTTGTTTTTAAAACCTTTTTGCACAAGGTGGAGCCAGCTGAACTTGCTAGCTCGTGACTAAAACTCTAAATAATGACTACAACTCTCTTCGGAGTTACTGCCTACGATTAATGTGAATCCTCTCCTGTAAAGTCAAAAAGGTGCTTATCCTCTCCGCTAATCCATTCTCTTAGCCGTTTTTAAGAATCTAAAATGTAAAACTAAGGGAAGACAATCTGCTGACAGGGTGGTTGGAGCTACACTCGCCGAACCAATCAGCCCTTCCCTTTCAATACCTTGCGCTGCGCCCCCCCCCCCCCCCCCCCCCACACACACACACACACACACACTTTCCCCCCTCCCCTCTGCAAGAGCGTGATCCCGCGCGTACATGCAGCTATCTACATGCAGCGGCAGCTAGTTCATTTGTAGTTGGTATTCTGTTCGATGGATGGCGCCAGCGTACAGTGCGATGTGTTTGGCGTGTTCGCTCCCAGACCCAGAGTGCCCAGAGTGCTGAGCAGTGGTGTCAGTAGGGTTGCTGGGGCGTCGGCAGGGGGGGAACACTCCCCCCGGTCCCTTCCCAGCTCTCTCGGGTACGGGGAATCAAATGACGTCGCGCCATAGCTTTTCTGGCAAGTGGAGAAACCGAAAGCAATCCTAAAAGTAGTGATGGGCCCAACGAGGTAGGATGGGCCAAACTTTTGCCGAATCGAAAGTTCGGTGCCGAATCTTGGGATTCGGCAAAGCCGAACTTTTGCCGAACTTTTCTAAAGACTCGGCAATACATTAAAGTTGATATTTAGTTTTTTTTTTTTTTTCTTTTTTTTTTTTTTTTACTTAAATGCAACATGTAATCTATATTGACATAGTCGTTACTAAATAAGGTGATATTCTCCAAGATAATTGTATCGGTGTCCATAGGCCTAGACTTGAGGGAAGCAGAACCCGCCCCCCGGGCCCGGGCCATGATCCTTACCGAGACTGTTTACGTGCCATGTAACGAATCTCTAGTAGATTCGTTACGTAAACAAAATAACGCCCACATTGCCTTTATTGACAAAATGCATGGGAAATGGAATCCCAGCGTGCTTTCGTTAGCTTCAATCTCCAGTTCTGGCGAAAAAGTAACGCGCAGCAGCACTCCCCCGGGAAAATGGAAAGTCTACGCCGCTGTCGGTGTCGTTTTTGTGTGTTTACTGGCGATTTTAGTGACTCCTTGCCGAGGCGGCGTGACAACGACGTGGGGTAGAAGCGAGCGTGGCGCAGTCACGAATCACGCGAGAGTTTCGGTTTTGAGGCATCATCAGCGCAAGCATGCATGTGTTTGTACATTGTTAAAATGAAGGCAACGCTGCGTTCTTGCTTTCTCTGGGAGTCACCGTTTTGTGCGCGAAAACGAATGCAACGGTTGCTGAGCCTTCACCAGAAGAAATAACAATAATATTGTAAATATGCATGTTTTTCGATTTGAGTCACTTGACGTCAGCTTTGCATGAAAGTTTGCGTCCCATATTCGCAACCTCTCGTTTTTAACATTTAAAATGTCAGTTTCTGGTGTTAGGGCACACACGAACGTTCCGGAAGATAGGGAGAGTTAGAAATGCCGGATGTGCGACGTCGAACAATATAGTTCTGTGTTTAGTTTTATGCAGATACATCGCGAAATAGTACTAATTGAAAAAGCAATATTTTTTTTGGAACCCATTACTCCTGGGCCGAAAACAGGATTGTTATAATTGCGAGGAGTGCTTTAAAGTAATTGTCGGCCAATGTTTCAGAATGCGCCGCATCATTTGTCACTTGCGCAGTGGGCTGCGTAAATTACTGGTCGATCTTCTATTCTTGAGGCAGACTATATTGAAGAGAACCACACTCGCTCACAAACGCACAGTTACTGTGTTGCCTACCCCACACCGCGCCGTAACCCCTGGTTGTACTACACTGCACGATGGTAACCGCACGACTGCACGGCGCCCCTTTGCAATCCAGGCTCCGTCGCGTTCTCTTGCGTGCGCAGACATTTGCCGAATCTTTGCCGAACCTTCCTTCAAAAGTGCGGCATTTGCCGAATCTGAAGTTCGGCAGATTCGGTCTATCACTGCCTAAAAGTAAAATACACGCACTGTTGTTTCCTTGGATTCTTCAGCAACAAGCACAAAAAAAGATTAAAGTCTCCCCTCGGTCAGTTGCGAATTTGCGATCAACGGCGCTTAGCTGGCAAAATAATAATAATAACATAGGGAGGGGCGCTTAATTCCGAGAATACCGCAGTCCTATCATCTATGTTGTGATGAATCACAGGCATTCGGGTGAAAGTCAGTAACATGCCCCAAAAACAGAGCGTCTTCTACACAGCGGGATTCTTCCAAAAAGCCCAACAGAACAAATGGGCGTAGCTACGAGTTGGTGATAGTCCGCGCTCCCCCTTCGCTCCGTACACCTCGTAAAACCGACTGCGTAAGGAGTGGAGCGAGCGGACCCCGGGGGCGAAGGGGGGGGGGGGGGCATTTTGGGGGGTTTTCGACCCCCCAAACCACCCCTTTGTCTACGCCACTGCTCACGCCAGTGCTCTGTTTTGTATATGTGCCTTTGAGTTTTTATACTGCTTTACCCGTAGCATGTTGCGGTCATGGGAAAGGAGAGGAGGGGGGTCAAAATCGGGACCAGGCGTCCTCTTTTGGACAATGCAGTTATGGAAACTCTGTTCGCACCATGTCAACAACGATACTCCCCCGGGCCATAACAGACGCGGGAGAGGAGTGTCGGACACCAACGTGTTCACACGCGTGACACTGTCGAATATCTGTGACAGGTTGCCACTTTGCTGTTGCTGGCTCTCTCTTCCCGGCCCAGCTGCTTGAAAGGGCCACAATCCCACTTTTTTATATACTTGTGGGCTGATATGGATCAGGAGTGAAAATGGACATCAGAAGCTTATTTTTTATACGGAAAGCTGACAGTGATAATGGCAATCCATCTTGTACAACGAAGAAGCACGTCACCTCAGAGCCGTGTCATGACCTGCAATCTATCGATGTACTTGCTGTCGCCGTCACTCCTGAGCATTCTACGGCTTTAGAGAGCCAGCTGAACATTGGCTTTGCCCTCAAGTCGACTCTCACAGGCATAGGTCGGCATTTCCGAACCCACTCACTCACCATCACATCACTAATTACAGCAACATCCAAAAGTCACAGCCCTTCACATCACAAAGTACATCGACGTCCAAAAGTCACAGCCTTTCACATCACAGAGTACACCGACGTCTAAAAGTCACGGCCTTTCACATCACAAAGTACACCGACGTCCAAACGTCACAGCCCTTCACATCACAGAGTACACCGATGTCTAATATTCACGGCCCTTCACATCACAAAGTACACCGACGTCCAAAAGTCACGGCCATTCACATCACGGAGTTCAACCGGACAACAAACTCATCCCCATCACGTCACCTCAATCTCTGAACTCACAAAGTCATTCACCGTCACTTCACGAATCCGTCAAGTTCACGAAGTACTTCACCGTCACATCACGAATCCTATAGAGTTCAT